AAAAAAAAGGAATTGGGTTGCACTTTATTTCCTCTCCATAAAGATTATGGACAGTTGCTATTTACAATAATTTTCACTGAGTCGTGAAGATTTCAGAGCATATGAATCCAAAATGATGTCATCATTCAAGAGAAGTGAATGAACATCATCAACTGAAAAAAGGAATCATTTCAACAGAAAATGGAAAACCAACTAAAATAATACTTAGCCTTGAACCATCTTTGATCATCAATACACTCATTCCAAGACCAAAGCTACATAATCTCTGAAAAGGAATGCAAACAAGCAGTACGCTTATATCGTAACAATTAAAGAGCTTCAGCAAACAACCTACAAGCTGCCAAATACATACTAGGAAAGGCATATGGAAAACCTACAAGCATTGCCACTATCATATGCATGTAAATACAAGTACTGTCTTGAATACAATAGATGCAAATGTGAAAAAGAGACACTAATTTCAAATTAATTCAGTCTTGATAATAAGTGTTGTAATTAATCATGAACTTATGTAATTGATCATGAATTTATCAGTGAGGAAAACAACCATCACCAATGTCAATGTCTTGTAAATTTTAAAGTGTGAAGTGCATGACATGACATGTGTCATGTCCTGAATGATTTAGTACTTTTTTTTTAATAAACAAACAGTAAGAGTCCTGTTTCTGTTTCATGCCTTTAGATTATTAGATAACACACAGGTAACATATCAAATAAATTATTACAAGAGCAGCACAGCTATCTTGGTTACCTACACAAATTTTCCATTGCATCTTCTTCCCATAGTCAGCAAACAATCCATGCAAGAAGGGTGTAAGGGGGTATTCTGTGCTTCATTTTTCAGCAGAGGTAAGGAAATAGACTGAAGTCTGGCACTCCCAAGGGGTTGGCTACCCAAGCTCGTGTTATTCCAGAAACAGCCTTTGGATTTCCTATACCTCTACTATTATAATCACTATAGAATATCAAACTGGCAATGGGTTGACATCTCTTTTATTTCTCTTGAACACCTCATTCCATATGGCTTGTCTGAATGTGAAAGTCTTTGGTGTCAGCACTCTAGTAGGGGCCATTCTGTCTGGATGCCGGGAGTGTTGATAGAATTGAATCGATGTGACTTCTCGATCAACATTTTCATTCTATAACAGAAATAATTTGTATTTATTATGCAGTACCATTTTCCCATCCATTGATCATTGGATAAACCTGAAAAGCATACACCCTACATAAAATGTTGACATTAACAAAGTAATTTACCAATCATGTGTAACAAAGCTACTTACCCAATCCAAAATGGCCAGATTGACCCTTGTCACATATGTACTGTCTCCAAAGTTAATTCTCTTTGGGGCATATATAAGGACCACCACATGAAAGGTCTCAATGTAAAAGGTGTCACGGCACTACAGAAAGGAAAGAGTCAAAATGTGCTTTTCGGTAAGCGATTGCTGAGTAAATTTCTTGTTTTATAAATTTGTTACTCCAACAGCATAGTACACTTGGTTGCGCTCACTAACCCGAAGATTCTTGTAGATGGTAGTCCTTGTTATAGCTTTCATGTAGGCTTCTTTTGCTTGTGGTGAGGTCAAGGGCTTTTTGATGCACGGATAGCCTGGTTGTTGACATCGTGAATCTTTACTACACAGGTCATGTTTGCCCTAGGGTAACAATAATGCCAAAATTAACTAGCCACTTCAAACAAGGCCAGTCATATATACAAATCAATGAAGGTGATATGAAATATGTTATAGGATTGTTGAATCATACATTTTTTTACAAGGAAGCACATCTACAAACCTGGTAATGGTTCACTATGTTGATTAGGTAGGTCTGAAACCCAACATCAGTCCCATCATTGTTCCTCATTGCCCAGTAGAAATGTGTTTTCGTGGCTTTGGCTAGTTAAACAACATCACAATAAAAATTTAGACTGCACAAAAAAAGCCCTAAAATCAAAAACATAAGGTTCAAGACTAATACATCCCTGTACCTTTATCCGATAATTCAGAGAACCATGTCTTCCCCTCATCACATTGAGCACCACTACAGACTTTCTTCATGTCGCGTGCTACCCCTTTAGTACCTATGGCAGGGAAGAATTTTTAGAGTGGAAAGGCTGATGATGATATTCCAAGTGCTGCCCAAGTAAACTGAAGAGCACCACACAGTCACTGACTTATTAACTTTTATACATACTTACCATGCCAGGTGTCAAAGGAATTCTTGATGCCTCTTTGCTCAAACCAATTTTTCAATGATCTCACACAGTCATGGGCCACCTCTGTTACGTTGTATGCTAAAAGCAAGGGTATGTTTGATATGTTATGGTTTTTAGT